ATGTGAATAAAATATCAATATTTCAACTATCTAACTTTTTTTTTCTTTTTGGCCAGTCTTGTGCTCAAGCTGTGTTCAGGCTTATTTTTGGCTCTGTGCTTAGGGTTCACTTGTGGTAGGGCTCGGGGGACCATATGTTGTTTTGGGAGTTGAACCTGGGTCAACTGCATACAAGGTGGTGACGTACCTGCTGTTCTAGCTCTCCAGTTTGACCTGTTTGACTTTGAAACAAGTGGCAAGTAGAAAAAATTAAATTACATAGGTGACTTGCAGCTGTGAATCACTTTATGTCAACACTGATACAGACCAAACTTACTGAATTAAGAACTACTTTCATAGTAAACGTATATTGATCCCAGAAATTTCTGTCACTGTCACTGTCCTCCTGTTGTTCATCGATTTGCTCGAGTGGGCCCAGTAACATTGTGAGACTTGTTGTTACTATGTTTGGCATATCAAATACGTCACAGGTAGCTTGCCAGGCTTTGCTGTGCAGGCAAGATACTCTCAGTAGCTTGCCGAGCTCTCCGAGAGGGGCAGATGAACCGAAGGCGGAGGAATCAAACTCGGGTCAGCCTGGTCGGCCTCATGCAAGATAGGTCAGCCCTACCCACTGTGCTATCTATCACTCCAGTCCACAGAAATTTCTATGAAGGTGTAATTGTTCCCTCTTCTCCAACCAATGTAAGATGTCTCTATGATAAAAACAAAGCAGCCAGTGTTTTATTCAACCACAAAGAGCAAAAGGAAAGCAAAAATTGACAGTGTGCATTAAAAATCCAAGATATTTAATGGGACACACATATGTATATCTTTTTTTTTTCTTTTTGGGTCACACCCAGCGACGCTCAGGGGTTACTCCTGGCTCATGCACTCAGGAATTGCTCCTGGCGGCGCTCAGGGGACCATATGGGGTGCTGGGAATCGAACCTGTGTTGGCCATGTTGGCTGCGTGCAAGGCAAACGCCCTACCCGCTGTGCTATCGCTCCAGCCCCCTATATCCTTTAGACAATGCCCTTAAAGTGCCTGTTATTGAAAACTATATAAAAACACAAATGTTAATAGCAACACAGTGCATTAAAGAGCCATCTCGTTTCGAGTGACTTTGCTAACAATGCTTACTTGTCCCCCTTGTTGACAATTTGTTCAAACTCTCTTTATACCAACAGTGGGCAGAATATTTTAGGTCAGGATCAGTTGCACAAATTTAGCATATGCTTGGACAGCTACAGAGAGGTATTGTGTTCTTTTGAGTTGGCAAAGTGACTCAGAAACATCAGCTCATTTCTCTGAATTAAGAGTGTTCTCCTAGGAATACAGATGATAACCTTTTAGCATCTGTATCGCAAATATAATGCCTAAAATGAGAGGGCGGGAAGGAAAGAGGGAGGGGGGGAGAGAGAGAGAGAGAGAGAGAGAGAGAGAGAGAGAGAGAGAGAGAGAGGTGCTTGTTATAGAACAGGATGGGGTGGGGGGTGACTTGAAGGGGTGGGAGGGAAATTGGGGACACTGGTGCTGGGAAATTACACTGGTGAAGGGCTGGATGTTGAAACTTGTATGACTGAAACACAATCATGAACAATTTTGTAATGCTCTATCTCACGGTGATTAAGAAAAAAATAGACTGTTCTCCTAATAAGTACCACTGACCTTCCAGGCAGATGATAACAGATAGCACACGTGCTTGGTTTTGCTGCTTGTGGTGGGATGGGGGTGTACTCTTTAGCTTTGGTGTTTGTATGTGTGCCCTCCAGGGTCGCGCTCACTCAGTTGTGGTGCTCCCACACATTCTGGTTGCTGTGCTTACTTGGGATAGCTCACTGGGTTGAGGTGCACACACACCTGGTTGTGTGCCAGAGATGGCACGCTGTTCTGTAACCCTCTCAGCACATGTGGATTGAACCCATGACCTCACACTTACAGAGCAGGTACTTTACCCTTTACCCACAAACCAAATCCTGGGGTCATTAAAAAGGTTTTTTTTTTTTAAATTGAGGTATTGGGGTTTACATATTACATGAATGTGATGTTAATTACATTCATGGTTAAATCATTCCAACCCCAGAGAGTCTCTTCCCCTCACCAGTTACCCAAGGATCCCTCCCTATGATGTAAAAAAAAAACTCATCAAAAATAGATTTATTGGGGCTGGAGTGATAGCAAAGTGGGTAGGGTATTTGCTTTGCACATGGCCAACCTGGCTTCAATTCCCAGCATCCCATATGGTCTCCTGAGCACCGCCAGGAGTAATTCCTGTGTGCAGAGCCAGGAGTAACTTCTGTGCATTGCCGAATGTGACCTTGATCACTTGATCACTTGACTTCCCGTTAGTCGTCGATTTGCTCGAGTGGGCGCCAGTAACATCTCCATTTGTCCCTGTCATGTGCTAGTGTAGCCCAATGGCGTCTGTTTGCTCTAGGAACATGAAGAGCCTCAAACCAATCGTTCATGATCTTGATGAAGAAGTCTGACCATCTGGTAGGTGGGCATCCATGCGGTCTTTTGACATCCCGTGGAATCCAGTCGGTAACAGCTCTAGTCCAGCGGTCATCTTTAAATCTCATTACGTGACCAGCCCATCTGATTTTGGACACCTTGGCAAACGAGACAGTGTCCCTGATTCTTGATCGTCGACGGATGTCGGAACTCCGGATTCTTTCTCTCATTTGAGTGAAACGTGACATTCCAAGCATAGCTCTTTCAATTCCTCTTTGGGAGATCCGAATAGCGTTCTCATCCTGTCTGCGTAGGGCCCAGGTCTCTGAGACATATGTTAAGGCAGGAAGAACAGTGGAATCAAAGAGATGTGCCCGGAGCCGGAGGTTCTTCGTCCTCTTAGCTATTTCTTCGACGTTCTTGAAGGCGTTCCAAGCCGCTCTCTTCCTCCTGCGCAGCTCGGGTGCCAGGTCATTCCAATAACAAACGAGACTCTGGCATGCTAACTAGTTATGCGACCCCCGAGCGGTCGGCGTCCCCCAGCTTCTTAGAGGGACAAGTGGCGTTCAGCCACCCAAGATTTTTTTTTTTTTTAATTTATTTATTGAATCACTGTGGGAAAGGTTACAAAGCTTTCAGGTTTATGTCTCAGTCATGCAAATATCAAACACATTTCCCTTTACCAATACTTATTTTTTACCATGAAGAACCCCAATAAAACCCCACCCCCCACCCCTCCCCGTCCCTGTGAAGCAGATGAATTCTAGTTAACACTCTATCTGCTTTGATTAGATTCATTGTTTCAATAAAAGATTCACCACTATTATTTAGAGTTTACCCCCCCCCCAAATCAGACATGCTGAAAAAGCATTGTGAAGTGATTTGCTTTCTACGGCTGGGTTCAAGAATTAAATGTTGGTTTTGGATTTCTGCTCTTTTACCTATTGACCCTGGAAGTATTTCTACTGAAAGTCAGATAGTTAAGAAATTGGTTTCTGTGTTCTGGAGTCCTGGCCGTGCTGGAGAGCCGCTCGCGGGGGGAAACCGAAGCCACCCAAGATTGAGCAATAACAGGTCTGTGATGCCCTTAGATGTCCGGGGCTGCACGCGCGCTACACTGACTGACTCAGTGTGTGCCTACCCTACACCGGCAGGCGCGGGTGACCCGTTGAATGTGACCTAAAAAGAAAAAAAAAAAAGGTTTAATATAAATGATTTAATTCATTATTGAAATTGTAAAAAATCCCTTTATTTCATTACTGAAATTGTATAAAATCCCTTAGCAAGCTAGGCTTGCTAAATATACCTTTCTTAATCGAACAGAGGGCAATCATAAGTGACATGAGTGAGGGCCCTGGGCCTATTTTATAATATATTTGTTTAATATATGTATCCATTTCTTTATGTGATATTTATAGATGGGTTGAATTGAAAAGGACTTCAACTTACTGAGCTTTTATTGCTTTTTCTAAAAATAACATTAATTCACGAGTCAGCTGATGACAGCGTGAGGCTCTTTGGGGGAGCTTTAAAGACAGAAAGATGGTCTTTAAAGCTTGGCTTTGAGGACAGAAGGACTTAGCGCTGCCTCAGCATCTAAATCATCAACTTGACCATGACCTTGACCCCTCTCACTCCCTTATTTGTGAGATGATTAGCATTGCTAGCTGCCACACACTCCAGACCTTATTCTTCATGCTTTACCACACCCTGAATGGTTGGTTGCTGTCATCTTCTTTTCACAGGGAAGGAAAATCAAGAGCACAAAGGGAAAGTGATTTGCCGAAGCTTCCCTTGCTAGAAGGAGGTGAAGCCAGGACATGGGCTTCTGGCTCCAAAGTCAGCTTGGTGAGAGGAAAAAAAGTCCATCAGCTTCTCATTATGCCACTTGCTTATTTCCCTGAATTATTGAGGAGGTTGGGACTGGGCGGGGGGGGGGGGGGAGTTCAAAGGTCTTGAGCTCCTGCTTCGCATGCAGGAGATTTGGGGTGTCCCAGGCACCACCAGGAGAGGATACCCCCACCACCATGACTGATCTTAGAGTAGCCCCTGGCCACTACTGGGTGCGGTCACAAAACAAAACAAAGAAAGTGAAGTCATTGGTAAGGTCAAATTAGACTGGTGAGTGGGCTTCAGAAACAAACATCATTAAAAATTGTGTGAATATAAGAGACTGTTGATTCTCCATGAAGCAGCAGGGGTATACACTGAAGCTACAGATAAACACTCACACAACCACCTATCTGGCTGTATCCTTTGTGTGTTTCTCTGTCCGTCTCCTTCAGTGCAACATCTATCATGTGTTGTTTTCTCAGATGCTGGCTTTGAAACCTCTGTTATGCAAGGATAATATTTTTCTTTGGGACAAACATTCATAGGGGCACGGAAGAAGCTCTTTTTGTGGTCAAAACAAACACTTGGACAGTCAGATGCATTTAGCATCTTTTGGTGAGGGATGTTGCTCAGAGCACAAACAGCCCAGCCCGGCCTCCAGGCGGCTGCCTTCAAGTAGGCTGGCATGGGGCAGGGTGTTCATTCCGCAGCAGCTCAGGCAGCGGGCAGGATGAAGGGCTTCTTGCTGCTGGCGCTGTCCCTCACCTTGCTGACTGTCTTCTCAGGTAAGTGCTAACCCGGAAACCCAGCCTGTTTCTGTGTGGGTGTGATAAACCAAAAGAAGCCTCCTTGATATATTGTATTATTATTATTATTGTTGTTGTTATTTTGCTTTTTGGGTCACACCTGGTGATGCACAGGGGTTACTCCTGGCTCTGCACTCAGGAATTCCTCCAGGGGGTGCTCAGGGGACCATATGGGATGCTGGGAATCGAAACTGGGTCGGCCGCATGCAAGGCAAATGCCCTACTCGCAGTGCTATTGCTCCAGCCCCTTGATATATTTTTTTAAGTTTTGTTTTTTCATTTCAAAGAACATGTAACAAATAATGATTTAATTATGCGGTCCCTCCACCTCACCCCAAGAACATGGAAAAATTCTAGAATTCATCTCATTTGAGATCACGGTCCTCCCGTTGTTCATCGATTTGCTCGAGTGGGTCCAGTAATATCTCCATCATGAGACTTGTTGTTACTGTGTTTGGCATATCTAATACGTCACGGGTAGCTTGCCAGGTTCTGCCTTGCAGGCGAGATACTCTCGGTAGCTTGCCAGGATCTATGAGAGGGGCGGAGGAATCGAACTTGGGTGGGCCATGTTGGCCGCTTGTAAGGCAAACGCCCTACTGCTGTGCTATTGCTCCAGCCCTCATTTGAGATAACATTTAAAATAATATTTAATTGTTTTGGGGCATTTTTGAAAGTGACAATTCATCTTTACCTTCTTTTTTTGGGGGGGGGGTCATACCCGGCGATGCTCAGGAGGGTTACACCTGGCTCTGCACTCAGGAATTACCCCTAGCAGTGCTCGGGGAACCATATGGGATGCTGGGAATCGAACCCGGGTTGGCCACATGCAAGGCAAATGCCATACCCACTATGCTAGCATTCCAACCCTATCGTTACCTTCTTTTTATTTATTTTATTTAGTTCTTTTTTTTGTTAGTTTTTTGGCCACACCCTGTGATGCTCAGGGGTTACTCCTGGCTCTGGGCTCAGGAATTAAATACTCCTGGCAGATAGCAAATGGGCTGAGAGCACACAAAGCATGCTGAAAGCCTTGGTTCAGCCCCCAACACCACATGGTCCACCCTTCCCTGAGCACCACGGGGATCCCGTGAGCACAGCCAAAAAAAGATTTTGTAAAATTTTGATAATTTTGTATAACATTTAAGAAAAATTTTCAAAAATGTTTTTCTTCGGTTCTCTGGCCAACGCTTTTCTGGGACCCACGGGGGTTATTTTGGTAGGATTCTTTTTTTCATCCCCAATACACTAAATCAAGCTTTGTTGATGGAAAAATGTCCAGTGACAATAAGGTTTTATTAAACTTGGTAATTGCACATGGACCCTCCAAAGAAAATAGTATGATCATGAAATTATATGAGCTTTGAATATACACAAACTCTCTAAGAGATATTCTCATAATAAATGTCCATCAAATCTGGATGATTCCACGAACTTTAAAAAGATAGTAATGGACTAGAGCTATAGTAAAGCAGGTAGGGCACTTGCCTTTTATGTGGCCAACCCGGGTTCGATCCCCAGCATCACATATGGTCCTCTGAGCACCTTCAGGAATAATTCCTGAGTGCAGAGCCAGGAGTAACCCCTGTGCAACACCCGGTGTGACCCAAAAAGAAAAAAAAAATCTTTTCAAGGACCTAGCCAGGGCATCAGTAACTCTGTGTGAGTTGTGCTGTGTTCCTGGGTTGGAAACAATTTAGAATTCCTTCCGGAGCCCTCTGGACTCCCCTTGGGGCCCATCCCTGTGAAAGAGCATTTGTGTTTTAACGGATGAGGATCTGGCACATCCTTTGCCTTGCATTGTGAGATAGGGCATGATGGCATGTGTCCCAGAGTTCCCAGGCCCCTTCCTGACTTTTCCAGAGGCTTCCCCGATTCTGACGGAAAAGCAGGCTAAGCAGCTCCTGAGATCCCGGCGCCAGGACCGGCCCAGCAAACCCGGCTTCCCCGACGAACCCATGCGGGTGAGTGCTGCTGGCCCAGGTGGAAGGCTGAGGGGTTGGGATCAGAGATACTATGAAACACGCTGCCCAAACACTAATGTTAAACAATGTCTGACATTCATTCATTCATTTTCCTGGGCTGATCCAATCCAGGGTCTTCTGTGGCTAAAACCAACCCAGGTAGCTCAGGGCCCAAGGCAGGAGTTCATCCTGGAAGGCGCCCCCTCCTCTCTCAGGGCTCATTACCCCCACAAGTATTCAGACTGGGACCACCGGGTCACTGTGAAGCTGCATGCACACCTTTGGGATGTGGTTGAAGGGAGAAAAATCACAGAGACCCTTTTATGGTAGAGGCAAATTCTGAACGAACCTGGCATGCCTGGGGAAGGATGGTCGCGTCCACACTGTAACTGGGACAGACCTGCCACGTGACAGTGGAAGCACTGGGGCCCAGGGGACGCTGCTGGCTGTCCCCCTGAACGTGCAGCTGGTGAATTATGCCTGGTGGCTGGTGCCAACCATCTTCTCACCTTCCCTGGGGCATGAGGGTGACATCATGTGGACTCCTCTAGGGGTTCCACCTGCTCCTCCTCCCCACTTCCTCCTGTGCCCTGCTTATTTGGGGGGTACCAGACCCTGACCCACTGGGGCTGGGTGACCCTCCTATGCTGCAAGCGCTGACATTGGTCCAGTTTGGGCCCCCCAGGTGAGGGTGGGTAACAGTGACCCAGGACAGGTAGGAAGGACTGGGAAGGAGCATTTGGGCTGCATCCAGGCTGGCCACAGCACGTAAGTGGGGCTCTGGGCTCTGCCACGTGACTGTGGTCCCAGGCCAGGAAGGAGGCTCCAAGAGGGGTCCCGAAAACCCAGGCGCTTTCTCTCCTCAGGCTGCCCTGCTGTGCCAACCCCTCATCCCGAGTCTGTCCTTCCTTTGCTCTCATTGCCTTCTCCTTCTTATAAATTGCTGAGAGCAAAATGGGTCTTGTAGAGAGAGGGGGTTTGACCCCAGTGATTACACAGACCTCCCCCAGTCTCCCAGCGCTGCTGATGTATCTGTGAGAGAGGCCTCACACTGTCAGCAGGAACGAGGCGGGGTAAGGTGGGTGCTGTGGCTGTGGGGCTAGGGCCGCCGCCAGGCTTCCATCCTGCCATGGGAACCAGGAGTTAGTGTCCGAGACCCCTTCTGGAGAGCCAGCCCGTCTTTGCCTGGAACACCCCATGCCTTTTCTTTTTGTGTGTGAACCAGCTGCTGACAGATGTCCCTTTGTTCAGGAGAAGGGCAAGGCGGATGTACCTTCTGTGCTCAGAATTGCACAGTGTGGGGCTGGAGAGACAGCACAGCAGGTAGGGCGGTTGCCTTGCATGTGGCTGACCGAGGTTCAATTCCCAGTATCCCGTGTGGTCCTCTGACCCTGGCAGGAAGTGTGCTCTGAGTGCAGAACCAGGAGGAACTCTTGAGCACCACTGGGGTGGCCCCAAAGCAAACAAACACAGAATTACACAGAGTGTATAAGGGCATGTGTGTATGTGTGTGTGTGTATATGAGGATGTGTGTGTGTACGTAAGGGTTTGTATATGGTGCTTGCGTGCCTATTTGTGACAAAAGCATATAGATGTGTGTATGTGTGTGTGTGTGTGACTGTGTAGAAGGATGTGTGTATATGCGAGAGTGTGCATGTGCGTGTATGCGAAAGTATATGTGAAAGCAAGCATATGTGGGTGTGTATGTGACTATGTAGGATGTGTGTATTTGTGAGAGATTGTGTGTGTGTGAATGTATGTGTATGTGAGCGTTTGTGACTCTGGATGAGAGTGTATGTATATGTGAGTTTGTATCTGTATGTGTGTATATGTGAGTGTGTGTGCCTGTGTGTGTGTAAGAGAGAGAGAGTGAGACTATGATTGAGGGTCTATATATGTGATGGCCTGTGTATGGGTGTGTTCAGAATTGTGTTTGTTTGAGGGTGTGTTTTGCAAAGACTTGGTAGAGTATTTTTCCAGAGGGCTGATTCCACTGCCCGCCTTCCTCCACTTTGGGTCTGACAGGAAGGACAGGAGGTGATGTTGAAGGGCCTTTGGGACCACGCGGGAAGGCGCGGGCTGTCACACAGAGTTGGCAGACAGTGGATGCTCCGCAGAGCAAAGTAATGAGGGCTCCAGAGCTGAAATGCAGGCGGCGCCGCTTAGAGGGTTAGCACGCAGCCACTGACGCACTGGCCTTGGGATCCCGCTGGACATGGAAAATGCAAAGTGACATATTTGGGCTTGTGCTTGCACGGCCTTGCCTCAGGACCCAGGAGGCAAACAGGTGGAAGTGAATACACACGTGAACACAGGGGATAGTTTAGGGGAGGAATTGTGAGCCCTGGAGAACTGAGCCCCCAGACTCTGCCCACTGACTTAGAATCACGGAGAAATAATCAGCATGCCAGGCTGAATATTCTGTTCTACTGCTCTGTCTTTAAAGGCAGCTCTACAGAAAACCCTTCCAGAGCAGGGAGAGAGGTAAAGACCTGGTGTTTGGGGAGGTCTTAGCAATCCAGAAGGAAAACAAGTGTGAAGATTTGCAGGGGTCTCTCCCCATCGGTGTCTGGTAAATGGTGTTTATAATCTTGACACTTGTTTAAATGTCGGTCACTCGTGGCTTCTGTGGAATTATAGGCTGTTTGGACAGAGGTCTAGACCGGCTCTGCCCACACGTCCAAGGGCCGGGCTATTCTAACAGCATGCATCCTGCCTGTTTGCTGCAACAATAGTTCTCTGCGTGGTGTACAGGACAAAATGCTATAGAAGCGATCACTTGTGTGTCGTGTGTGGTGGTGTGTGTGTGTCTGTGTGTGTGTGTCTGTGTGTGATTCCTGCACCTTACTGGGGCCCCACACAAGGGAAGGGAGGGCCCGAGGGGACGGGGAGAGACCACACAGAGACTGAGGCGCCAGCACTGGATCTAAGACTTGCAGCCTCCAGAGCGATAAGAATGAGGCTCGTTGAGCGCTCCAGTCCAAGGGGATTAAGACCCATCACGACTTATTTATTTAGCTCCTCCCTAAACAAAGGCCATTCCAGTGTGGGATGAAGACCCTCATACGCGGTGTGTGTGTATATGCGTATGTGTATGTGTGTGTATGCGTGTGTTATGCATGCGTGTATGCATGCGTGTATGCATGTATGTATGTATGTGTGTATGTGTGTATGCATGTGTGTATGTGTGTGTATGTATGTATATGCATGTGTGTCTGTGTGTATGCATATGTGTGTGTGTGTTTCCATGGTCAGGTGAGTGACTCAGAGGCCTTGCACAATTTTCATTGAAATGGGGCAGTTGTGACAACATACGTCCAGCTGTCACAGAGACTGCAAAGTTCCCACCAGCAGCACCTGGCCAACCTCTTCTTATCACCAAGTTCTGCATGCGCAATTTTCAAAATGGAAAAGTATTAAAGTTTTAAGAGAAAGATCATCTCTCTACTCTTTTCTTTGTATATCTGAATGGAGACATGTTGCCAAACAATCGTGACAGTATTTTCTTGGTGATAAGATTTGGAGCAATTCGTTACTTTCATCTGTATGCTTTTTGCTATTACTCAGTGTATTAGCTCCCAGCAGATATTCGGGCTGCCATAACAAAGTCTCATAAACAGCAGAGCTTAAAATAGCAGACATTTATTTTCTGGCTGGGGATATTGCTCAACGATAGACTGCATACAATACATACACGGGGCGGTGGGTTCTGTTCCTGGCACCACACACACACACACACACACACACACACACACACACACACACACACGCGCGCGCGCGCGCCTGCATGCATGCATGCACAGAGTTTATTTCTTACTATTGTAGAAACTAGAAGTTCCATTTCCAAGTGTTGGCAAAGTTGGTTCATGGTAAATGATCACTTTTTTGAGAGTCTGTTGTTTTCTTCCTTTCCTACCAGGAACTACAGCATCCCTCTAGCTTCATGCTTCCCGCATAAGACAGATGCTTTTGACTTAAAAAAAAAATCTCTCCCTTTTAGATGACTCCCAACAGTTTGGGTAAAGGACCTTTTCTTTCCTTTAAAAAAAATGTATTTATTTATTTTATTTATTTTTTTCTTTTTGGGTCACACCCGGTGATGCACAAAGGTTACTCCTGGCTCTGAACTAAGGAATAACTCCTGGCAGTGTTCAGGGGACCATATGGGATGCTGGGACTAGAACCCAGGCCGGCTGAGTACAATGCAAACACACTACCCGCTGTGCTATCACTCTAGCCCCTCCTTTTTTTTAAAAATATAAGAGTATAATATTTATTCAGCCATTGATTAAACTGATCAAATTGGGCATGAGCTCTACATTACTCTCAAAAAATTTTTTTAATTAAAATATTTTTTTAATTGAATATCTGTGAGAGAGACCATTACGAAGCTGTTCATTATTGGGCTTCAGTCATACAATGATCCAGCACCTGTCCTTCCTCCAGTGTTCATTTCCCACCACCACTGGCCCCTGTTTCCCTCCCACCATCCCCCAACACGCTACCCCCACCCCCAGTCTCCCTCTATGTGATGGACTTTGAGTAAACGACTTTTCATCTCTCTGCTGGTCCTCAGCACCCAACAGTGTTTCATGTTTACTAGATGCTCCTTTGATTCCTTTCTTTGTTTCTGTCCAGGGGCGAAATTTTGTAGGACTTAACTCTTCCTAGAAGCTGGAGGTTATTTCAAAGAAATCTCTTCTATGGCCTCCCTTAAATTTGTTAAATTTCTCTTAATCATCCCCAATTTTAGTGAAGAAATTATTTGCCAACTGCTGGGCGAACCTCGGAAATTCTTGAAAGAGATGGCACGCAGGCTGAAATGATGTCTTTTGTGATCGTGTTCCTAAGTGCTTGCACACCCTGGGAATATGCTTTCTGCTTTGGCCTGTGTTCCTTAAAGGAATGTTCTCGTTGGGCTAGTATAAATCACATTAGCTTTATTGTACGCCGTCTTTGTAAAATATGCTTTCATGTTTAGCCCCTTGACAAATGTATGT